CACACACACACACACACACACACACACACACACACACACACACACACACACACACACAGTCACAGTGAGGCTCAGACGTCCAAACGTGTGCTGCTGCTGACCTCCAGTGGCCCGGCTCCAGGCCCGGTCCACTGCAGGACAAACAGAACTTCAACAGACCCGGCCTGATCAGAGCCGTGAGTTCTGTTTGTGTCGCGGGTTCTGGATGAACTTCCTGAGCTCAGCTGCCTCCTGGTGTTCACAAACAATAAATCTGATGAATTAAATAAACCTGTTGTTTTAGGATCACGACACCTGCACGGTCCTGGACGGAGAAACAATCGGACCTTCTGTTTCTGTTGGTGCAGAAACTGATCTGGAGTTCTACAAGCATTTAGAGAAAGTCCTGCTGTGATGAAACCTCAGCTGATCGGACTTCACCAAACTGGTTCTGCAGGCCTCTGTTTCAGAGCAGAAGGTCTAACTGGGACTGATCTGTTACACAGACGAGCCTAAACCTTTAAAACAAACTATAAACTGAAATAAAACAGCTCTGACTGCAGAGACTACAGGAAAAATCCTTAAAGTTTCTTTAGTTTTTGTTTGTTTGTTTGTCCTAAAATTCAAACATGAACAGATGAATCATCCTCAACACTTTAGCACAAACAGCTCTTCAGATAAAGGAGCGACAATTTACGAAGCTGAAGTTAGCTTCCGATTCGGGAAATGACTAAAGGGATATTACAACTAATTTTTCACTACCTTGCGCGTGTTTAACCTGCTCTAGCTCAAAAACTACAACACCTGGGCTCTTCAAATCTGGACTAGATTATTCTACACTAAAAGAAGAATATTTAAAAACATGTTTGGGATTTGGGAAAGCTTAGTCTGATTTGTGAAACTTCAACGAAGTTGGTTTTTCATCATTTTTATGCAACTGGACCACACTTGACCTGGTCCAGCTCAAAAACCACAACACCTGGACTCTTCAAACCAAGATTAGATTATTCTACATTAATAGTGGAATAATAAAAACTAAGTCTGAGCTTTGGGAAACCTTTGTCTGATTTGTGAAAAATCAATAAAGTTTGTTTTTCGTCATTTTTTTAGGAAACTGGACCACATTAGACCTGGTACAGCTCAAAAATCACAACATCTAGACTCTTCAAACCAGGACTAGATTATTCTACACTAATAGAAGAATAATAAACACTAAGTTTGAGCGTTAAAGGTGCAGTATGTAACTTTTCTAAAAATGTATTTTTTACATATTTWTTCATTCTGTCACTATCTCCTGACAGATTGATATTAGACAGGTAAGCTATGGAGGAAAAAA